TTCCCACCCCAGCATGTCTTCCACAAGCTGCCATTCCCTCAATGTCTTCATTAGGCCCATTTACCTGTCTAGCTGATTCCGACAATTCTCCTCTTGAACGTGGTATCCCACTCAACTCTGGATCTCTTATGACGTCTGCACCGCAGCATGTCTCGGTCTTGCCTTCAACTCCCACAAGTGTTAAAATAATATCTACTCCTCTTACTAATTCTGCACAATTACCCCAAACGCAGCATATCACGGTATGCGGGACATCTCTTAGTGACACCAATGTGCCTGTCGTCTCCGCAGGAGACACGGACTCCGGATTATGCACTTTAGCTCAACCGCGGGTAAATTCAATTCCGCTCCTTAGTCTATCGCCTTCCTTATTTGGACAACTACTTTCCAGCCTTATTCCCCAGCCTGATCAACCCAATCCCGAGCTCGTTGCAACTTCCATAGCATCCTCGACGCATACCTCTTTGTTTCCTGGATATCTCCCTACTTCCTGTCTTCATCAGGCTGCCACTACAGCCAACGCCATTCCTGCCTCTTCCGGAACTGCTATCATTGTATCAAATCCTGCTCTCCCTGGACAAACACCATCTCCTTCTGATGTTACGAATGCCCCTCATGACGCTATGGCTATGACGACCAGACAATTGGTCTGGCAGGCGGCTAGGCATGACGGTTTGACTACAACATCAATACCTACCAACTCGATCCGTCCCCTTACTCATGCACCTGCACAAATCATGAATTCCAAGGTTTCGGCCAAGGTCGCCGATAGTCAGCCAGTACTCAAACTGCCGCCCAATTCATTGGTTTTACTAGTTGATGGCACTAATGTGAGCCAGACTAAGAGCTAAGATTCTTCTCACCTATATCTTAATTCGCCTATTTCAGAGGGCTTCCAGCTGATTTTTACTTCTTTATGTGAGCTAATTGTGCACCCGATAATGCTTATAATGTGAGTCTGAGTTTGTATTAACCAAGCACAATACGCAATGCCTGATGGCTCCAACACAATATGATATAAATTCTTTTTCGGTCATTCTCCTGTACTGCATTTATTGCTTCTTATACTCTGTCATCACACATATTACATATTATTTTGTATGTTGCTATTAATATCAACTAGCGAAGGCTCAGCATCCTAACTCTTTTTTCACCTGTATTGCTGCTCACTACGTGCCTCATTTTTCCAAAGTAAATCCTCTTACTTTGGCATCCTTATCTTAACATAATTGCCAAATTATCTTATTTTTAACGTCGTGCTTAGATTCTCTCTCGATTTTTGCCAACATTGTAAATATCCTGAAGAAAAATATAATTTTAAGATTCATTTCTTTCTTCTAAAGCATTCTGGATGGCTTTACAGTTTATATATATATATATATACTTAGGCCTCTATGTGTAACCCTACTTCATATTTCCACCTCTCTAATCCTATCCAACACCCGAACGTAATTTACACATTTTTCCCACATTAATTTCTTCCATTCAGGATGTTAGCAGCAGCGGGTGTAAATAAGCCTCTCGAAATCTTCTTATTCAAAATTTTTTAGCTCACCATAATTATAAAAGGTCACGGCTCTGGATTTGGTTTAAATTCTAGACATTAAAAATAAGAAATAAAGACAATTAAATGCATTGAGTTAATAATAGAGGGATTTTGCTAAGACGAGTTAAATTTTAAGAGAAGATCAACATCCTAAATCTGGGACAATGTAATCTTAAAAAAGTTTTATAAATGAGGCGCCTTAAGTGGGTTGATGCCATTTATTAATAACTATATAAATTCTCACAAGCCCTTTTTTTGCAAGCAATTCACATTTAAAATAGATTATAGAAAGCAAAAAAATTGTATATGATTAAAAAAATATTATAATTGTAAAATCGTTAGAGAATAAATTCGTAACGGAACATGTTTAGTCATGGTTACTAAGACTGCCGGACAATACACTGATTTCAGCAGATCAATGAAAACAATCCTAAATCAAGTTTTTTGACCTTGTTTTCGTAACTTGGTCATATTGGTAGGAAGTCTTAGAGGGGCGCACCTTGTCGGGAGTGCATTGTATGCATCATCATTTCCAGAGTAGGACCGTGGACGTAGTACATTCCCAGACGTTTCGCCGGCATCTTCAGTGAGTCGCCATTCGTAGCACCAAATTGCAACTCGTAAAAGAGACAAGTGAAGCCTATCCTTTGACCAAATGTGTGCTAAGCAGTTGTGACATCTCCCCTTCTGCCCTGTGCTATTCACATTTCCTATATCCTCCTATCATGCCTTTCCTGTCACAATTTTTTTACCATGCTTATTTTTAATGTAGTATGGTGTGCTCCTTCGAGTGGCATTCATGAAAACCCTTCACACTCCACACTGTCGTTATCACACTATTCACCCTTGTGCTGAGAATGTTGACCAGAGTCTGTCATATTGTTACGTGGTCCTTACCTGGGTCCTATCAAAGTCTCCCTCTCGCCCCGTAGAATCCGTCTGCTATCTCTCTGGTACACGTATTTTACTCGATCCCTGTCCACCCATCGACGATCCTCTGCACTTGGGCGATTAATTAGAGGCTAAAGCCTCAAAATAAGTCTCATTGTCGAGCCTTTGCTACATGAACGATGTCTCTTGTAAAATCTACTTTTAGCCAACTAGCTCCAATCGCCGCATCGTCTATTATGTCTCTATCCCTAATACCAAGTCTATGACTTGCCATGCAATAGTTGCTTGTGTGCCAACCCACAAATATTGTGATACTGCTGACTTTGTGTAGGTTCAATGTTAAACCACAACGTTTGTGGGCTGGAACACAAGCGACTAGGGCATGGCAAATTATAGAATTGGTAGTAGGGATGGAGACAGCATAGACGCGTCGGCGATTGGAGCTAGTTGGCTGAAAGTAGGTTTTACAAGAGACGTGGTGCATGTAGTAAAGGCACGACCATGAGACATACCCTAAGACTTTAGCCTCTAATCAATCGCCCAGGTGCAGGGAATCGACGAATTACGCCTCGAATAGCACAGATGGGGAGGCCGGGGTCGAGTGAAATACTTGTACTAGAGAGATAGCAGACGGATTCTACGGGGCAACAAGGAGACTTTGATAGGACCCAGGCAAGGACTACATAACACTATGACAGAATCTGGTCAACATTCCTAGCACAAGGGTAAAAGGATAAATAACGGCAGTGTGGAGTGTAAAGGGTTTTCAGGAATGCCGCTCGAAGGAGCACACGACACTACATTAAGAATAAGCACGGTAAAAACTGTGACAGGGAAGGCATGATAGCAGAATATAGAAAATGTGAATAGCCCATGGCAGAAGGGGAGATAACATAACTGTTTAGTACATGTTTGGTCAAAGGATGGGCTTCACTCGTCTCTTTTACGAGTTGTAATATGGTGCTACGAATAGCGATACTCACTGACGATGCCGACTACGATGCCAGCAAAGCCTCTGGGAATGTACCACGTCCACGGTCCTACTCTGGAAATGATGATACATACAATGGACTCCTACCAATATGAACAAGTTGCGAAAACAAGGTCAAACAGCTTCTATACAACAAAAAAATACTGCGACCACACAAAATGCCACACCATCTTGGTCTTCTTACCTTTAATCCTAGATCAAGCTTGTAATTTGACCTTTCTTAAATGTTATAAACCGTATGGCATCCCTCCTAGTTTTGCAATTTGATGATATAATATTATTCCATTGAGGTCAATGCAATTTACCTTATGCTTCTTTCTACAAAATATAAGAGACCAATGATTGGAGGGGGATATGAAATTAGACTAAAGATATATGTTAATCAAATATAGGCCTAAATTATGTATTAAAGTTATAAATACCAAGAGGTTGTGCCCTATGGTATGGTCGCAATGAGTGATGGATTCTTCGAAAAAAACTAATATAACTTTAGGGGCCTGGCAATAAGGGAGCTTGGCAAACGAATAAGCTGACCGTGACGGACATTCGGCGTAATGACAAAAATGTACTAGAAATCCACTTAAGATGCCGCATGCCCCAGAGATAGGCGTCCACAGTTTGCTTAGATAGCATGGGTTTAATCAAGGAGAGGACCCGTAAAGGAAAGGCCTGATATCTGCAAGCATGGGAATCAGAGCTTAGGCTCTCTGCTCAGTGAAGCTGAGGTATACATGCTTCTGTGGGCTTGAGAAATAGCGTCTAGAGAATAAATGCACACATGGACTTGAACCGAGTGAAATCAGTCAACCAAAAAGATAACGAACGGAGATTTAAGACAATGAGGGGATCCGGATTGAAGGCCCGAGTCTCTGATTAGCCGATCGAAAGAAAGGGAGTCAGGGTGAATAACAAGATTTGCAACTAAAAGGCACATATTGTGACGAATGGAATGTAAACAAGTCAGAAGTTGTGATAGGGCGGCAGTAGGATAAGAGGGTAAAGAGTAGATAGATAGGCTAAGACAGAAAGAAGAGTGATATTGTAACCGTTTTCGGCAGAATGTTTGTCGAGCGATTAACTTCATTTGTCTCTATGACGAGTTCGTAGCTTGTTGCGGATAAAGGCAAAACTCACTGATGATGCCGACTGCGATGGCAAATAAAAGTTTGAATTGTATCAAGTTCACTGTCTGATGCAAGGAATCATGACAACTACTATGGAAGACGACTTCTGACTAGGTACATTCTATAAGTCCCCTTGATAACAAAAGCAAGTTGTGACAACGAGGTCAACCACTTTTAAAAAATTATGTATGTATTTGTCGTGTGCATGCGGTTATTAGACATGGCTGGTGGGATGCTTGAGCATAGAGGATGCTAGTCAAAACACATATGAACATTTAAGTAACACAGATTTAGTGGATGTGTCCATTTGTGGGAGGAGAGGAGAGTTATTTTCGTGATTCATGATGGAGTAATGAGAAGCGGTGCATTTTGAAATCAGTGCTTATGACTTAAACCGGACACAGAGACCCAAATAACGAGACACAA